TCAGGTCTGGGGTACACCAAAAGGCGAATAATGTATACCCGAGGGAATCGCTTGAAGCTTTTCGGTTGGAAGGAGAGGGCGGGCGGTGGAGTCGGTAGCTCCCGTCACGCCGGAGAAAGCTGCTGATAGATGGATATACCACGGGGGAGATCGGAGCTCCGGAAAATATGTTTAGTTCCCAAGTGGAACGGGTGATTAGTTGTAGGGATCTGGGGGTGGGAAAGGAGGGGGAAAAGAGTACAGGAGAAAAAGGGAATTCGAAGGATAAAAGAAGTTGACCAAAGTCAGGACTTTTATCTGGCCCAAAGCAGAAGTCTTTATCCCCGGCCCTCTTGACTCAATTGTTTTGGTCGCGACTTCCTTTTCCGCCCACCGTGTGAAAGCCCCTACGCCGAAGCCGGCCGGAAATTTCCCACTACTCCCCGTAAAGAATGAGAGAGGGACAGACAATGGATCCCTCGGTCCATCCCCATATAACGTACTAACTACTATCCTTACGGAGTAACTACTACGTAGCAGTAACCTTTCGCAAAAAGAGAGCAACCATGCCCGGTGGTCGGTACTTATGATTATTACTACATACCGGTGCTTTTCTAGTTTTTAATAATTGACACACCTTGTGGCACTAATTAATTTGCCTTTTTCTTTTTCTTTTCTTTTTTCTTTTTTTTTTTTTTTTTGAACTTGTCTTGGCCCAGTTGTACGTGTAAATCTTTTACCCGCGAATGATTACATAGTCTGATAGGCATGCCACATGGAGCCAACCGCCTCCATTAGCCGCCGTTTCCCGCGGTAACGGGCCAACAGTCTCCGCCCGGATCGAACTGCACCGAAGTCGCCTTTCCACCGCAAGACGAAACCAGCGATATACGGACACTCGTCGATCTCTCGCCCGACAGTCCAATTATTATTCCGCTACTCTAGAGGAACCAACCCATCATGATTAATTAACTCCGTTCACTCGTAACCCTGTAGTCTGTACAGTAATCTGGTCTTTCTAAGAAATTTTATCATGTTGACTCCATCCGCCCAACTTGTTGAAAAGCACCCAATCCTGTTCCTGAGGCTGGTGCGCCATCACGCTTGTAAATGTTGAATTGAACCCGAGAATACCGCCATAACATGATCACACAGAACAAATGATGTATATCAGATTAAGAGAAATAAAGCACTGGGAAGCAGGGGAACCAGGTGAGAGTAACGAGTCTATACAACCTCAGCCAGTACACCAGACGTCCCAGGATCGATCCAGTCGACCACATAGCGCATCTAAAACAGACCGTCGATTTCTCCGGTCTCGGGGTCGATATCGACGTTCAAGTAACCCGGAGCGGTCGGCAGACCAGGAATAGTTTGAATATCCGCAGCAAGGGCGTACCTGTAATCAAATTAGTATCCGTTCTGTGTACGAGGTCTATAGGGGCAGTCTTACAGATATCCAGCACCCACGGCCAACCGAACATCCCGGATGGGGACTGTGAACCCGGTCGGAGCGCCCTTCAAGGCGGGATCGTGACTGAGAGAGTACTGAGTCTTCGCAACGCAAATAGGAAGATGTCCAAACCCTTGCGCAGTGTAGGTGTCGACCTTCTTTTGCGCAAGTTCACTGAATTCAACCTTCTCCGCGCCGTACATGGCCTTGCCGATGCGCTCAATGCGCTCCTGAATGGTACCTTCCAGCTCATACAAGAGCTTGAAGTCCTTCGGCTTGGAGCTAGCTGCCAGAACACCCTTGGCCAGGTCCACAGCGCCAGCTCCGCCCTCAGCCCAGTGGTTAGCGGGGATCGCGTCCTCGGCTCCCGCAGCGATGGCCTCCTCTCGGATGACAGCAATTTCAGCTTCCGTGTCGGTCTCCATGCGGTTAATGGCAACCACCACGGGCACTCCATACTGGCGGGCATTCTCGATATGCTTCTTCAGGTTGATACAGCCCTTGCGTAGAATATCGACGTTCTCGGTGCGGTAAACTTCGTTCAATGGGGCTCCGGGGCTAATCTCCGGGCCACCACCGTGAACCTTGAGAGCACGGACAGTGGCCACAATCACCACAGTGTCCGGAGTCAAACCGGAAGAGCGACACTTAATATTGAAGAAACGCTCTCCGCCCATGGTGAAATCGAAACCAGCCTCTGTCACAACAAAACCAGTCTTGGCCTCATGGTCCTCATCGGGTTCCGTACCGGCGAGTTTCAGAGCCAGCTTGTCCGCAATCACGGAACTGGCTCCAATACTAATGTTGGCGAAGGGGCCAGCGTGCACCAAAACCGGCGTTCCCTCCAAACTTTGCATGAGATTAGGCTTGATAGCATCCTTCATAAGGGCAGCAAGAGCGCCACCAGCGCCGATGTCGTCGCAGGTGACGGGATCACCACTCTTCGATGTAGCAACGACCATCCGGCCCAGTCTGTCACGCATATCCTCCAGACTGTTGCTCAGGGCAAGGATGGCCATACACTCACTAGCGACAGAGATATCGAAACCAGTTTCACGGGTCAGTCCCTTCTCCGTAGGTGCCTGTCCAACAGTAACGCCACGGAGGTGTCTGTCATTGACATCCAGGACACGGCGCCAAGTAATGGTTTCAGGGTCAATATCAAGGCGTGCGAACCGACGGATCTCCTCATTGGTCAGTTCGTCCGGATTGGTCTTGGTGATACCCAACTTGTTCAGTCTCTTGAACATGACGGGCTGGAATTCACGCTTGCCCTTCTTGGCAGGGACCAATCGCTTGTAGAGCGGGCCATCCTTCTGAGTTGCTTCATGGAACATGCGGGTTTCGATAGCAGCGGCAAGAAGGTTGTTCGCAGCAGTAATCGCATGGATATCACCAGTCAAATGCAGATTGAACTCATCCATAGGAATGACCTGACTGTAGCCACCACCGGCAGCTCCGCCCTTGATGCCGAATGTAGGGCCCTGACTGGGCTGACGGACATTGGCAAACACAATGCGATTCAAGTGCGCACCAATGGCCTGAGTAAGACCCAAAGTAGTTGTCGACTTGCCCTCACCAAGCGGGGTTGGGGTAATACCACACACCAAGATGTATTTTCCATTACGGCGGTGAGCCAAGCGATTGAGAACATCGAGACTTACTTTAGCTTTGGTATGACCGTAAGGCTCAAGCTCGTGAGAAGAAATGCCAATCTCTGACGCAACTTGTGTGATTGCCTTGGGGTACTGTGCGCGGGAGATGGCAATGTCAGAAGGTACAGGGCGTGCCAGCTTGATCGGCAATGGGGTGATGTGTCTATCCTTCTGCTTCTCGAAGTACGCCTTGGCAGAGTTAACCACATTCTGCATCAGCATAGCCACCGTCATGGGACCGACACCACCCGGCACGGGGGTGATCTGAGAAGCCACCTGAACGGCGGACTCGAAATCGACATCGCCGACAAGTCGCTGGCCCGACTTCTTTGAAGGATCAGGCTTGTAATTGATACCAACGTCAATGACAACAACACCGGGCTTCAACCACTCGCCCTTGACAAACTCCGTTTTTCCAAGGGCGGCGACGAGGATGTCCGCCGTCTTGATGATACTTTCGACGTCAGGGGTCTTGCTGTGACACAGTGTCACAGTTGCGTCTGCCTTATTCAACAGGTAGCTAACAGGGCTGCCAACAATATCACTCCGACCAAGCACCACTGCCTTCTTACCGGCCGGGTTGACTCCACTCACTCGCAAGAGCTCCATCACGGCCTGAGGTGTGCAAGGAACAAAGAGGGGGTGGCCGCCTCTCTTGGCTAGTTCACCGATATTGACCGCTCCAAACCCGTCAACATCTTTCTCGTCAGCCACGGCAGAGGTGATGGTATGTTCAGACATGTGTTGCGGAAGGGGCAATTGGACGAGAATGCCGTGCACGGAGGGGTCATTGTTGGCCTTGGTAATCTCCTGAAGGAGCTCGGATTCGATAGTTGTCTCTGGGAAGTTGACAATCTTGCAAACGATGCCCGCCTGGATGGAAGTAGTTTGGTCAGCCATGTGAGAGGCATTACCCAAGCAGAAGAGGGGGAAAGCTTACCTCTTCGGCAGCCTTCAACTTCATGCGCACATATGTGCCTTGAGAACAGATTAGTTGACATTCCGGAGTTGGGATGCGCTACACAAATAACTCACTTGAATCCGATCTGCTGCCCACTATGTGCAATACATGGTCAGCAATTTTGTCTGTTTGGGGGCTGGCTATGAGTCAATAGGAAGGCGCACCCTGGAAAATAACCAAGCTGGGCTTGAATCGGGGATTAGACTCCTGGATCTGCTGGATCTCATTCTTCAGACCCGCCCGAATATTCTTGGCGATCTGCGTGCCATCAATCTTAGTGGCTGCCATGGTGGTTCCGGTGCTGTAGGATGAACAACGGATAGAGAACGGCGTCGCAGTGAACTCCTTATAACCTGTGGGGTTGGGTCGGAGGGTCCGTAAAGTACCGTAACTAAGTGAGCCGACCCCGCGCCCTGCGGAGGAATCTCGTGGTCTGAGGAGAAAGGAGGATGAGATCCGGGGAAAGGAGAGGGGGAGATGTGAGGAGGTATGGAGGAGACGAGAATTGAAGAAGAAACATTTTGCTTTGGCACCTTGGTGGTGTTGGTAGTGGCAGCGGGGTAGTGCCGCCGAACGGGCGGGGGAGCTAAATGGCATTGATTTGCTTTCGTCGGAGACTTTGGCTGGGCTGGCCAACAGCACGCCCTCGGAAAACGCAGGGAGGAAGAATTGGAGATAGGGAAAAACACCCGTCAACCCCAGGGATTACCTAAACGTGTTGAATAACACCTAATTAAGATTATGCTTTATACAGAAAATGAATCGGGGCTTCAACAATGCAACCATCCCTGCCAGTCTCCGAAATCTCCAATTTCTTCATTTCACGGATTCCGTTTCAATATCTTCAATTGAGAGACACTTTGTCTCGAAGGTTTCTTTGGGTCTGCACATGATCGGCCCGTCCATGAAGTCGGAGAGTTAAAGGGACTTGGCGCGAGTCAACCCGACGGGAACCGTTAGTCTGACCAAACTATGCCCAGTAGGGTCAAGACCCCTGCTGTCCCATGTCCCATGAGTCAACATGCTAGGGCTGCCGAAAGTCACGCGGATAGATTACCATACCGGATTATTAATGCGCCGATACGGACATTTTTCAACACAGGAACAGCCTTGAACAGGAAAGTCTTGGCGCGCGAGCCCGGACTGTGCGATGAAATTCACTAGTCTTGACTACGAGGAGAGCCGCCAGCACCCCGCCAGCAGTTCCGCCTCAGAAACGATACAGTCGGTCACAGGATCCTATCTGTGATCTAATACCTCATTACTTTCGTCGCTCTCCCCAATATCATAGCTTGGTCGGCCCAATATGAGGCCTATTTTGCTTTCGGGCCATGTGCGTTCGCCTTACAACCATTCGATGATGCTCTTTTTTTCACGGCAATGAAAAATAAAAAAGAACCCAGCCACTAACAGAGACTTTGCGCATAGGAACGGTCCCTCAACCAGATCAAATTTAACCGCGATGGCGACCTTTTGTTTTCTGTAGCGAAGGATAAGATTGTGTGCGCTTGGTGGTCGGCTAACGGCGAGCGACTCGGTACCTATAACGGACACCAGGGTGCTATCTGGACTGTCGATGTGAGCCCTAACACCATTCTCCTGGCCACCGGATCGGCAGACAACACTGTGCGACTATGGAACGTGAAGACTGGCGAGTGTATTAAGGTGTGGGATTTCCCTACGGCTGTCAAGCGGGTCGAATTCACTCCGGATGGAAGCCGGCTGCTGGCCGTCACAGAGAAGCGTATGGGCTTCTTGGGTACCATCGCCGTGCTCGATATCAACTATGAGAACCTGGAGGCTCAGGCCGAGGAACCCAGCTTGAGGATCACCTGCACAGAGAGCAAGGCAACAGTTGCGGGCTGGAGTTATTTGGGCAAGTACATCATTGCTGGCCACGAGGACGGAAGCGTCAGCCAGTACGATTCGAAGGTGCGACAAAATCGATCAAGAAAAAAAAAAAAAAAAGAAAAGGGAGATTGCTAATATACCTTCGTAATAGACCGGCGAGCAGTTGGAGAACGTTCAGGCACATGAATTTGACAACTTGATCAGCGATATTCAATTCTCCGCAGACCGCACATATTTCATCACCGCTTCCAAAGACAAGTCCGCCAAGGTATGCCACTTCCTTGGAGAATTTATAGCATGATAGTATGCTGACTTAGTCTAGCTCATTTCCAGCCGTAACCTCGCCATCCTTAAGACCTATGTTGCCGACACTCCCCTCAACAGCGCTGCTATTACGCCCAAGAAGGAATACGTGATCCTTGGTGGTGGTCAGGCTGCTATGGATGTCACTACTACCTCCGCTCGTCAGGGTAAATTCGAGGCTCGTTTCTACCACAAGGTCTTCGAAGACGAGATTGGCCGTGTCCGTGGCCACTTCGGTCCCCTCAACACTGTCGCTGTCCACCCTTCCGGCACCGCCTACGCCTCCGGTGGTGAGGACGGTTACGTTCGTGTTCACCACTTCGACAAGCCCTACTTTGATTTCATGTATGAAGTGGAGAGGGAGCAGCTGCGCAAATAAAGTGATTGGCGTTTAAAAAGAGCTTTTTTCCTATTAACGCATGTGTCATGAGGCGAAGACATTTCTTACCAACAAAAAAGAGTAGAAAAGGCAAAGCAGGCACGGCGGTACGAGAAGTTCTCGGGGCGATTTAGGGCATGAATTCTCATTTCATTGTTTCCATGATAAAGTCGGAGTTGGTACCATTTTCCTTTTCCTGGTCGCTTTCTGTGTCCTAATAAAAGAACCCAGTATTTACTTCTTACAATTTTGCTTCAAAGTTCAATCTTCTTCATAAATATATCTCTTCGTTGGCCATCTGCCGGGTAGCATTCTATCTCATCTAGATATAAACCAAAGAAATCCCAACTTGCACCGAAAGAGGAGCATCAAGATTCATTGAGGCAGTATTTTATATGGAGAAAAAAAGAAAAAGAAAAAAAAAATCATCTCAATGCCAGGTCAGCGCTCTTCCGACCAGCAGAAAGTAATGGGGATCTCATTGCACAATAAAATGCATTAACGTAACAACCGAAAGGACATCCGGGGACATCATGAAAGAGAAGAAAGAGAAGGGTTTCATAAAAAAAGCATCCCATCCTGTCAAGAAAAAGCCGCAGGCTCACCCCCAAACAATTTACTTTTTCTTGGGGAACCTCTCCTTTCCGATGTCTGAGCCTCTCAGCTTGATGTTGAGCACACGCTCCATGGCACTGAGGACCTTCTGGTCGGGGGTGGCGGTACCCTTCTCGAAGTCCTGGACGACGGTGACGGTGGTGTTGCACTTGGTGGCAAGTTCCTTCTGTGTCATCTTGTAGCCCTCCTCAGTACGGCGCTTCTTGATAGCGTCTGCAACTTGGTAGCCGACAGTCTTGGGCTTGATGATGTCGTCGCTGCGGTCGACCTTGGTCAGGTGCTGACCTTCAATAGAACCAGTTTTAGAAGCCTAACAATGCAAGTTAGCACACTGGCCTCGAATACAAAGAATATAGAGACCGCGCGGGGTTAAGAACAAGTGGATTACTTACAGCATTGCCAGTGGCGTACTTCTTCTCAGTTCCGATAACAAGACCTTGGCGCTGGGCGGCGTTCAGAGCGCTCTTGCCCTTGACGACAGTCTCACGGGGAGCAGCGCCGCCAGCACGGTGCTTGCTTCCAATGCGGGTAGTAGAGCTCCAGTCATCCATTTTGAGGGAGTTTAGAAGACGTTCAAAGAAGACTCGATAGGGAGGGAAATGGTGAGGTTGTGTGTTGAGGGATGGGGGAGAGTGACGAAGGCGGTAAAATTGGATCGCGTGAGGTTGTGGCTAAAAAGAAGGGATGTCGCAGGCCCGCCGAATTTATATCAATGACACAGAAGCTTCTCGAGCCACGATGGCGGAGTCAGAGGGGAGGTTATGCCCTAGTCCTATTTCGGTCCCCTCTTTGGCTTCTGCCCCACTGACATCATTCGTTCATTCGCTCGGACTTTTTCTCACCCTAACTCCGTTCCTTATTTTGATGGCAAATCCCAACCCGACTACTACTCCGTACAAATATTTTACATGGATCCTTTGCCACGATGATCAAAGCTTAACTGGTTAGTCACTTATAATAATGGGCCTACTCAATGAACGTGGTATCATATTGCAAACCACCGTATCTGTATATGTATCATGAATCCGTCAAAGGTATAAAATTACAGCAATGATGCCCTTCTTCCCTTTATGGCGAAACGGTCATCACTATCGTAGAGATGGAAAGTTAATCCAAAGGAAATCGTAAAGAACAAATTCGATACCAATTCTATTAGGTACTTGGGTAATCAAGACATCGCAGACGCTGAAGAGCACGAGAGAGTAATCTATGGCCATTTTAAGAGAAAGAAGCACGTTCTAAGAGTCACGAGTACTTTGCTGACGCTGCTTCGAGTAGTTTGAAGGCCTCTGTTTCATATGCCTTTTGGGCCCATTCAAGGGCTGTTCTTCCGCCCAACATGCGTTTGTTGATGTCAGCGCCATGCTTCAATAGAAGTTTTGTGGCTTCGGTACATTCATTTCGAGCTGCTAGCATAAGAGCAGTGTCTCCATCCTGTGTTTGCATATCCACATCCGCTCCCCGTGAAAGGAGCAGTTCCACCATTTCTACACGATTATCTGCTGCTGCCCTCATTAAAGGCGTGCTCGCACCAAAGTTACTCATATTTGGGTCTGCTCCGTGATCGAAAAGAGCTCGAGCAACAGCAACATGATTCTCGAGAATTGAACATATCAAAGGACTGAAGCCGTCAGCATTTTGGATATTGACCGTGGCTCCCTTGCTTAGAAGCAGAGAAACCATGCCCACGTCTCCTGCATGGCAGGCGACCGTCAAGGGTGTTGCTCCATTGGCGTGTCTTCCATCAATATCAGCACCAGCACCGAGAAGTTCCTCGACTGCTTGCTGATCAGATTCCATTATCTTATCTATGAGAACGGTTGAACCAGTTGTAGCATTCTGCGCGTCCATATTAGCTCCACGCCGACGGAGGGAGGCAAAGGCTGGTCGATAGCGCCCTTCAACAACCCATAGAATGATGTTGTAAACAGCCCCTGGACACCGCTTATCGAATTCAACCCATCTTGCAATGAGCCAATGCATAAGTGCGTGATGTCCATTTTGACACACCCAATCCAAAGCTAACCGATCATCTATGCCAAGCAGATCGCGACTGAAAAGTTTTTCGTCACTATTGGTCAACCAATGCAACACCGCTTGCATTGCTCTTCTCTTCTGCTCCTCATCATTCACTCCGTTCGCCATTGACACGCAGTTGCCACTGATTCCGAGAGAAGTCAGGGTATCTTGCATCGATTGTTTATGAGAGTGTTTTTGAACGATGTGCCACATCACCCACCCTACTTGGAGGGATATTTCTTTCCAGCACTCTAGCCGCTTCGTTGTGTTCATCCAGCTTGTTGGACGAGTGCTCCCCAACTTCTCAAAGTAGTTGCTCCTCGGGTCAGCTGCTATTGCGAGGCAGGCTTGTTCAAACCCTTCTCTTTGCAGGTTGGGATCCAGCTGCAGCATTGCACGACGACAAAGATAGCCTAGCTCGAAGAGAGAATATTCGAACTCTACTCCTTCACAACATTCGCATAGCCACCGCATGGTAGAGAATGCATCTGTCCAGCTTTTGCTAGCTATGAGTTCCTCGATTCGGCCTTGAACAATACCCGAGCCACCATCGAGTTCAGGTAATAGGCCATGGTTTTTCATGATTGGGACTATGCACAACAATGCGTCTTCTCTGGAGCCCAAACCGCTTGATTCAACGCAATCCACAAGCTCTTCGAGATGACTGCTATAGGCATACAGTCTGTTCTGATAGCCAGGGAGGACGTTGATATCTCCGCCGAGTGCTTCCAAGTTTCTTAGCACGCTTTTCAGAAAGTGAATATATATATCTTGAGCCGCCATGGTCTCTAAGTTATTTTTCGTTCTCACAACGAGGATATCCTTTTCGTCTGGGAATTCGTCTGAGTAAAAGCCAAACATCTCCTGAGGCAAGGATATCATCTTGGATGAAACCATTCTTGCTTCGGTTTGACGAAACATCCATTTGTGGAAGTAAAGGTCGGTGTCCTCAGCTCTTGCCTCTGATTCGTCTAGGCCGACAAGGCGACCCAGTCCATTCCGCAGCCAGTTGGAGCCATTTGTAGAACTCAGCAAAGACCATGTCCATAATCCCAGCACAGCCTCCAGCTTGTGTTCGCTCACCCGCCAGTGTAGAGTATCGTCCGTCTTCTCTAAACTAATTCTGTAGTTCTCCACGACAGGGGCAATGGATTTCTGATGTGACTGACACACGAACGCAAGATCAAAGCCGTCCAAAGTATCTAAAGCTTTCGTCCAGGTTGATACTAAGTCCATTGTCATCTCGAGTGCTTGGGCTAAGCTCCGAGCCATTTGTCGAATTGGTAGGTTATCCCAACCCAGATCTCGAAGTTTGCTAGTATCTGAGGTAAGTGCGGCTAGCTGGGCTCGTGTTTGTATGAGCGTAGCTCCTAACCCAGTCAGCTGTACGGAGTTGGCTGTTGACGTATTTGATGCAAGGCTGGGCTGGTATGACGATGATCCTCTCGCTGTAACGGAGACTAAACCGAACGATTTCACTTTCTCAAGGTGGAAAGCAAAACAATCAAGCTCTTGGTTTTTGTAAGAGGCAAGTCTCTGTTCCTGCTTAGCAAGGCGATTTTCCTTCGAGCTGATTCTTTTTGTACGAAGACATGTTCTGACGATAGCCATAACGAGCGTGGACCCCATCTGTGCTAAGGTCACTGAAGAATGTAACCCTCGAAGGCCAACAAATTGGGCCACGAAGCCAATTAGCGTAAATGCGATGGTAAAGATGAGTATATACGGGCTGTCTTGGAATGTATGGTCCCGTATAGACTTTATATATCTAAGGCCTTCAGCAGGTTGAGAGTCAGGTCCCTCGTTGACTGCAAGAAAAGAGTCGAAGACTTGGTCTCCAACGTTCTGCCCCCCTGGTTGTAGCCAGTAGATCTTACTAGGCTTGACAGGATGAAAATAAAACTCCTTCGACGAACGCTCGATAATAAAAGCGCAAAGGAACATTCCAGTACAGAGGCATATCGTTCCGATGAAGAAAAGTGGGAAAGCATAGTCTTCCACCGGTTCTCCATCCTTCTGGAACCGATCCGGATATATAAAAACAGTTAACGCAGAATAAGCAAGGACGCCTGGAATACTTGTCAGTATTATGCCATCTTAGGAGCTAGCACTAGGACTTCATTAGTTGTATAAGAACGTACCTATCTGCAACACAAATCCTGCTATAGCAGCACAGTAAAACCAAGCCTGACTCCTTCTGACAATGCCCTTGTTCAGAGACAAATTCGGTATTTCGAGTTCCGGCAAAAAGTCCTCTTTGTCGTGGAGATTGCAACTTCCATCTCTTGAGGCCCACGCGCCCTGTTGGAGAGCCTCACGCAAAGTTCCTGTTTTCCAACAATCCATTTTGCTTGCAGGGTCTCTGTCTTTCCACACCACTACCTCCAATAGGCGAGGACGTCCGAAAACGCGGGAAATGCCTCCATTGTTGAATAATTCGGCCGTAGTCTCCGACACACATGACAGTAACTCGTGATCTGCCTCCCCGGGGCCTTCTTGGGCCCTCCCGATGAATGCTCGAAGGGATGGATTTCCGCAGACTCGAATGACGGAGACCACGGCCGTCAAAATCCCCAGCGGGGCTACGGCAAAGATAAAATTATCTAGGAGGCTAATAGACTCCGAGAGAAACTGGGTCGTAAGTCTTTCTCCAAAGAGAGAGATCAATGGTGCCTGGAAATTCTAGCGTTAAACCAATACTAGTAGGCATAATACTGAAACGACGTGGGGAAGGCGCAACCTACCAGGTCCGTAGCAAGATTATCTGTGAAGTCATCCCAACCACTTGCCCTTGCAGTAGGTATTATAAAACATGTAACAAGTATTAGACGGTTGAACATGGCGATAAGAGACACTGTATATACGACAAAAAAAATAAAATCCGAGAAATATTCTAAAAACATAGCATCGTGCTTGTACAACCTTGGGTTTATATTATAAGCGCTCTCACACAAACGAGTGCGCTAGCAATGCGCAGTGCTTAAGGAACCCAGTCGGCCACATCAGCCTTGCATGTCGCCTACTGGCGAAATACATGGTGAAACTCGCTATGGTGTGGTAGTGGCGCTTCGCCAGCGGCCCAGAGAAAGAGCCGCCCAATATTTGCCTGTAATACCCACGCTGAATGATTTTATACCAGTCTGCTGGGTCTAGCTATTCTAGTTGTGGGAACGTGCGTGATCGCCGGCGCTTAAACATCCAACGTGGCGCGCAGGACTCAGAGATCTTCTTCCCCTGGATGGGGTTTCAACTGGCTTCGAGTGGAAAGCTAGGGCAGATCTAGAGAATATGAGGGGAAATACTAGTTAAGATAGCATGGAGGGCGGGGCTAGACTAGGAGGTCTCGTTCGATTCACACCCGCAATATTTGATTTACTGCTATTGGCTATTTGTTCATAAAATCCAGCTAAGGCTCCGCAAATCATTCTATGGAAATTCGCATTCTGATGATTGTATTAAAGTCGTGGCTATGGATCATACTATAAATAATCCGCGACATACGCTTCCCAAATCATCCCCATTAGTCCGACTGAACGAGGCTCCCGAGCAGCAAAAGAAAGGACACCACCAACGCCATATCCAAGGACAAAAGAGCGAGGAACGGAATCAACCCGCATGGTATTCAGCCCGAAACCCCTCGGATATTATTGAAATCTGGATAAGCCAACCCACTAAAAAATGCTATTCACAATGTTGGAACCAATAGTAGCACCGGCACCGAAGATAGCTAGACGAGCGATGGTCAGTAATCACGAATATGCCGCGGTGTAATAGGAAACGTACCGGCATTGCCCATCTTCTTGCCAAACTTCTTGCCATGCTCCTCAAACTTGCCGGTTTTCTTGTCGTCCGGATTTTCTGCGGAGCCACTTTGGCTGACTTCGAGGGGCATATTTCCATAACTCGTAGGAGCTGGTGCCGCCTTGTCTTCAATCACGCTCACATAGCTACGAGGGAAGATACCCTCCAAGTTGGTCCGCTCATTACGACCCCGCCACCCTGTAGGTCATTATTAGTCAAGTGCCAGCAGTTTCGGGTGACCAGAGTTCCTTACAATCGGCATTCATGTGCTCCAGAACCTGAACCCGGTCATGGGGCTGGAGAGCCAGATCACCGGGATCGGTTGGAGTATAAGCGTAGAGCGCATTAGCGACCGAGAGCGCCGGGGGAGCTTGGGGATAAGCAGGCGGTGGGGGGGTATAGTGCTGCGGGGGCGGTTGATAGGCGGCTTTCTCGTTCAACGAGGTATTGGCAAATTGTTGGGTTGGAGGAGAGTATGGGGCTGGAGAAGGCTGGACGGGAGTAGGGGCGGCAACAGGGGGTTGGTGCCGCTGGACAGGTGGCTGCGATTGTGGTGGTACGGAGGCGGACCGTTCGGCGTTCTCCTGGGGTAGTTGAGATACAATCGAGGACAGTTGCTGTGGAGTAATGACTGACGCATCCGCAAGGAACTCAAGTTCCTAGAATGAACGAAAAAGGATTAGCGATAGGTGAACGGGATATTGTACAGAAGAATACAGAATAAGTTGCTATTCCTCGAGAGCAAGGGAGAGGGCTATACCAGTCGGACAGTGCGCAGCGACCGGTTGGTCATGGCGGTCATGAAGTTGCTCTGGGACGCCATGGTCGGCAAAGAGAAATAAGAGAGTGACAGGTTACTGGAAGGAAACTCGACCAAGAGAGGTGGACGTAGATTGGAACCAAGGAGGTTCAAAAATTTTGAAACGAGAAATAAGGTAAAAAAGAACGATGGGCAGTGCTTAGTCCAAAAAGCCGACAAATGCGCTCCAAGGGAAATGGAAGACGTTCCTGACACCCCAGTCGGATCGGTCGGGGCAAACGCTGGTCATTGGCCTTTTGCCCGCTCGGTCTTTCCATGTCTGCCTATCCTTGCCAAGCATTATTGAAACATCCATTTATCCAAGACATGAACACAGATTCCATGTTCTTGTTCTATATCAAAATCTTCGACCTCTCTTTCAACTTGATATATTAACCCTCGTCTAGTATTCTGAGAAGCTAGTTGTGTTATTCACTCAGTGAGGGTTTTCTCAGTTCTATCGCTGTGGCTCTTTACTTCCTGACCTCGAAGCATACCTGAGCTATGTGAACGATCTCAAACTAGTTTCTGGGCAATATGGAGATATTTATTTTCTCACACAATCTTGTTTCACCTGAGTAAAGTCCCTGATACTACTACATTGTTCCACCAAGAATGGGGAAATCTACTCTACGCTCCAGCACATTGAGGCACCTACCAATATTCATGAACCAGAGACAGCCTATAACCGCCTATTATATATAATAATCCTTTCTTTCTTTCTTTCTTTTTTTTTTTTTTTTTTTTTTTTTTTTTTTTTTTGGGTGGTGGGGGATGGCCAATCTGTTATGCTCAAGTATTATCATGATGGTTTTGAACTATTGTACTCCGCATATGCCATGTCAACTAGCGGTGCAAGAATCTCTTCATTTTTTTTTAGTTTTATTTATTTATAGATATTTCGTTCTTCCTTTTCTTGGTTTAAGCAATGTAGGTTCATATTGTGTTTGATCGCACTTTATCGCCAGAGGAGATCAAGATCTCGCCAATGAACAGAACATCTTGGTCAGCAATTATTGAGGGGGTACAGAGTATCGAGGTAGCTTGTAGCTTCATCCCATAGACATCTCTTACCAAGCTTATAGCAACTATCACTGAGATGCTAGACTGTATCGCACTGCTCCAAGAAGGGATATGATTTTGATATGATGTGCAAAATTGGCAGGGTAGGTGGTTGTTAGGGCTAATTAAATCCGAGTACCACTGTCGCGCCTCCGTCATTTTGGGGTTATGCATGTCGTCTTTGTAACATCTTACTCTCATGATTCTTGGTTGCAATATGCTCGGAGGAGCAGCTAGTAAATTGACCGAGGCGCTTAGAATAGTCTATTTTCGTTGTTCATTCGAGTTGCAAGTCAGCAAGCTTAGTCGCTCATAGCGACTCAGAAACGCCTCAGGTGATAAAGCACACAAAGAAGCAAGAACGCAATAAGAAATGACAACCAGACATGGAAGGATACCTAGTGGAAGTAAGGTCAGTTATACGACTCACGATTGTGACGTTGTCATTTGATGGACAACAGTAGGTAAGGTACATTAGTACTACTTACTACCTCCATGAAATGCTACAAGTAACCTTCGAAGTAGTAAAAATTACCCCACTTCTTCCCTTCTCCTTCTCCTGATTCGATCCACGCCTTGGCTTGCATCTCTACGACGGAGTAATACTCATTTCTTATTGGCTAGAACATACCTTTCCAAGACAAGAGTTTCGTCTCAAGTTTGACATGATCGGCCGTGCTTTGCTGCAGGTCGTATCACAGTTTACTGTCTCTAAGCGCCGTGTCCACAACCCCCAGATCAATCAGATTGCAAGAACCGTAACTCCTCAGCGCTTACAGAGACCACTACCTCCCGTGCATGTTCCTAGCCGTGCATTTTGCTGAACTGGAAGCCTATAATAATTCAGGATGTGCTCCCGAGCGTGACCTTTTTATGTACCCCAACTCCAACTTTCTCTAAGCTTTGAAAACGCTTGTGTGTATATATTCGAATCTGAACATCCCTTAATTCATTGCAATTGCTACCACACTCATTCTATTTACTTTCCTTAGCTTGTCGCTAGATAAAATAAGAAAAATTTCGGATACCAGACCTTCATAGGTCTTAGGTGCAAAGAAAACACAACCCTAACCATGGCGACTACTTACTTCCCTCCTCCACCTCAAGACCCTCAATTTCCTCGTGAGTGGCCTATCTCTGACATTGATATATCACAACAAGATGCTAATGCGACGTACGGTCTCAGCTCCCCCGAGATCCGCAAGTACAGTGGCACCTCTCCTAATTGTTTTATTTTCAGGCAAAAAAAAAACATAATCTTATGGGTGACATAGCTCTTCAGGCGAACGTCCAAAGCACGTCGGATTTCCCACCCCCAACTTTCAACTTCCCTCCACCCCAAAGGCAACAGACAGCGCCTGCTGTAAGCCCGCCCTCGATCGAAGTCAATGCTGCAGCGTATGCAGCGAATAGCGAAGTCAACAACCTGTACAGGTCAGACTCGGTGTCGCCTCCTCTATCATCGACGCCCCCGGCGCTTCCAGTAGCTGTACAACCACAACTTGCTAATCCTTTACCTGCATCCAACCAAGATGAAGTTGGAACATTCAACGGTGGCAGCTTCAGAATCAGCCATCGAGATACCAATTCGGTCCTAACGTTGCAATTGGCCATGGGATGCCCAATAGAGGCTAAGCCAGGTATGCATCGCGCTCATTCAATTCCAAGGGCCATGGCATCCAGCTGACCACCGGCATAGGTGTTATGATCGCAATGTCCGGAAATATCTCACTGAGGGGAGGCGCGAAGTTCAGCTTCATGAAGATGCTTGCGGGGTCGATGACGTTCTCCACATATACAGGCCCTGGAGAGCTGTTACTTGCTCCTCCGTTTTTGGGTGACATAATTGTCCTTCGTCTCAATGGCGACGAAACCTGGAAAGTTGGCAAAGACGGTTTCCTAGCTGCAACAGCCGGTATTGAGAAGGATTACAAATCTCAGGGGTTGACCAAGGCAGTATTCTCTGGAGAAGGTTTTATTATCTACCACATGTCTGGTGTTGGCCTTCTGTGGCTCCAGAGTTTTGGTGCCGTTATTAGGAAAGATGTGAGATAGTCATTTTCCTCGGTGGGCTGGCCTTCCTTTGTCCAACAATATAACTAACTGTTTCATTTAGATTGCAGAAGGCGAGAGCTACCTGGTCGACAACGGCTACCTTGTTGCCTGGAATTGCAAATACAAAATGACTCGTGCAGCTTCAGGCGGTATGTGGTCGACGTATAGCTCGGCCGAAGGGCTTGCATGCAAATTCGAAGGCCCAGGAACAGTATATCTCCAAACAAGAAATATTGGCGCATTTGCAGCTCACATCAGCACTAAATAATGATTGACGAACAATTGTCGGTGGGATGGAGCGCATGGAATCGAAATTCACGTAAAGAGCCATGTTCTGCTCCAATGGTAAAACTGACTTCTTTCTTTCCCCTTGTTGGCGTTTGGCACTGTTTGTATGTTAGCGTGAACCCCATCTTTCCCTTTTTTTGTCTGCACCATAGCAGCACTATTCGGTCTCTGCTTGGTTATTGGGTCTGTCTTGATTACATAAATTGAGGTGTGCCACAGTCCTTCCTCCAGACAGTTACAGTCCCTGTATCACTTCATTCTTTAACGAAGCCGTGAATCCTATGGCACCATTGTCCGTGGGTTCTTCTACTAAAGCATATGTTCAAGATTAGAAGAGAAGATTATGAAAAAGTCATACAAATCCATATACGTATCATGCCATGCCAAATTGTCTTCACTTCGTCTCTTAGTTACTTTTGAGTTCCTTTTCCATAAAGCACTACTCTCAACGTCGTCATCATCATCCACATAGGAGAGAGAAAAAAGAAATCTTTATACGAAAGGGGGAAAGAAAATCATAAATCGCCAAAAGATAGTCGCAAGGAAATACAACCACCGCCACCATGGCTCCCCCAAAGACGCCACACCACGTTTAACCCTGTCTCTTTCTGCGTCCGACTTGGCCACGGAAACCGGTCTTGATAGCGGCGACGGAACGACGGGATCCGCAGGAGTTGCAGGTAACGAAGTACAGACGGTTCTCACCCTTGTTGAGCTCGGTGTCAGGACTGCGGCAAGTCTTGCAAGTAACGTATTCGACTGGTTATATGTTAGATGGATGTCAGATTAATAAATGGGGGAAGCGAGGCATCGTACCAATATATCTTCTGAGGACGTTCTCAAGCTGCTTCTGCTGGAAACGACCCTTAATGACCAGACGACGACTGCCGTCAACACTGCCACTGGTACCCAATTCGGCGAACAAGAACTGCATGACGTGGTCGTCGGAACGCTTCATACGCTTGCAAATATCGGCGATGTTGGCGAAAATGGTACGACGGTTACCTTCACGCAGACACTGAGGAGGAGGGATCTTATACGACTTGGCACCGCTGGAAAGAAGGTCGGGGTGGTGGCTCTGAATGAGGGAGAAGAATCGGGAGACAAGCAGAGAGTAGGGGATGGCTTGTGTAGCGTCGTGGGCCCAGATACCAGTTCCGGCCTCGAGATCACCCTCAGGGAGGACCTCCTCTGTCTCTTCAGCTCCCTTCTCTGCTGCACCAGCCTCGGCCAGCTTGGCCTCGAAATCGCCTGCGTCGACCTTCTTGGTCTTCTTCTTCTTCTTTTTCAGGGCGGTGGGGTCGAATTCGCCGTCAGCTGCGGGGGAAGCTTCGTCGCCTTCACCGGCCTCTGCATCCTTAGGCTTCTTTGTCTTCTTCTTCTTGGACAGTCCCTTGAACATTTCGGTAACTTCGTCGACCGACTTGTCGGCTGTGGCTGTTTCTTTAATTAGACTACCGGACATGGATCTCTAACAAAATGCACTGAACATAACGAAAAAGGATTCGGGTAATCGTACCTTCATTCTCGGTGGGCTTCTCCACCTTAGGCGCCTCCGTGACTTCGCCGTTGGTATCCATGATGACAGAGCCCTCACTGAATGCGACTGACTTGCGTTGTTTTTGAGGAGCTTGTTCGACCTGTTCGGCCCCGCCAGATAACGTTAGCGGATAAGAGGGTTCTGGAATCAAAATTTCCCAGACGTCAAAAAGAAGGTAGACAGTAAATGCTCGCAATGCAGCACAGCACTACTATCAAAACTGAAAGCGGAGTGGGAAAGTAACGGGGTTTGGGGTTGAGAAGATTGAAAGGTGAAGAAAATGTGGGAGGACGATCGGTAAGGGAAAACAGCGTGTGACGTACAGTGGTATCCGCCATATTGAATCACTATCGGGCTGTGAGCGCAGACAGGGGTATCACACTCCACCAAGACAGACCAAAATTCCAATTTCCAGGAGTAAGAATGATGCTCTTGAGCAAGACGATGAGGTCGCTATGAAACTTCCGCTGAGAACCGTATCTGCGACGACTCTGATGGCGAATCTGTTATCGCGGGTCGGTTTCACGTGACCCATGAGTCAAACCCATTCGGTACGGCGTAATTTTACGATATTGTACGAGTCGGGGCACGTGAGGGCCTCCCCTGGATTACATCAGACTATCCAATCAACCTCACTTCCAATCAACGCATCCGATCTCGATCTTCTTCCTAAGGACATTAACTGGGTCCTACTCATGCCGCTATCCTCTTTCAAGCGGTAGGCGGGCCACTGCTTGATTGACAGCTTACAATCTGCTTGTCTTTTCCCTCCATTCCTATTGTTCAAAAGTGTCCCAGAGCCGTTCACCATGTCGTACCCATCACCCTCCGCCTCCAACCCGTCACTCGCTACGTCGGCCTATATGGTCTCCTCTGTAGACAACATCTCAGATGATGAAGTCGCCTCTCTTCCCTCAGAATCTGCCTCTTCCTCGGACCTAGATATCTTCTCAGATGACTACTCTGACGCCGAGGAGGAATGGCGAGAAAGCATTGAGCAGTTGGAGCTCCTCTTGACCATGGTCGTCGTGCCCTTCGTGGGGAAGTACCTGGGAAGGAAGTGTGCCTACTGGAGTATGTTGATCTATGGGAGTGCGTTAGTTTTGTGGGCCACATGCTGACTATGTGCGTAGGCTGGACCAGATTCATGGAGTGGAAATACCCTGTTGAGGTTGTCGTCAAAAACCAGGCGGCATTCAAGGGAGCAGGCGCCGTTGCAGCTCTTGCTTCCCTATGATTCGGATCAAGCCGTATGCATGACCCTATACTAGATTTCCTTGGCGTCGATAGACATATACATGGCAACAGTACCATCACATTCCGCCAGCCTTAGCTCTTTCTCGTGTCAGGTAAAGCAACTTCGTGCTTACATTTCGTATGGTTGATCGGTCTTGGGAGACGCAGCTTTATACTGTCTAGCCTGTGTATGCAACCACAAGTCCGGCGTGTCAATGCTGGTTGATCCCACGGGACCAAGGGACAGGTACGCCTTTTTAAAACAAGCAGCTGATGATCTGGTGAAATGTTGGGTGAGCATTCCAAAGATGGTTCCAGATGAGCAGCGTTTCAGCATAATTTGTGATACAATTATACCCAATCAAACTTCAGTGCATATACATAAATCTGTTCGAGATGTGTTTCCGGGTTTGAATATTATAAAATCGGAGGGGCAGTTTGGGAGGCTCGCGGCAGTTCACGAAAACTTAATTCATCTCAATGTTTACTATCTTCTTGTTGAACAGTCCATGTTGGACGGTGCTCAGATCCAATCTCGACTACCTATTCTCAATCACCTAACAGCCCCTTCCTCACTCTTTCTACGCTTGTTGCGGGTAACCAATTCCATATTTTCCTTGGCTTTCGCTTTGCGCTTATCCTGTCCCTCCATATCTCCAAGTTCAGTGCCCATTTGTGATAGGGCTTCCCGAGCGTAAAAGCTAAGGTCACTGCATCCGTCCGGGGTCAAGAAGCGTTCAAGAGGGGTCTCGCGGTAAACTCCTGGCTGCTGTTCAAAGAGCTTCAGGCTCTCATTGGTTTGGTTATGAGTCTCTGCGGAGTTCGAGGTGAAGGTAGCCTGACTGAGATGATCCATAGCCTGTTCGATGTCGACATTGTCTTGGTCATGCTCGCTCAAGCGTTGGATCCCGAGCTGAGAGAAGTATTGATGGATTCGCTCATCAGCTATAACTTTCTCTATCCACGACGTCACACCGTTGCCTGACTCTTCCTGAGGTAGAGTTAGATACTGTCCAGTGTTCACTGTAAGGAGGGAGGCAGCTGGACTTACAGATTCTTCGATGATATTGTGCAAAGCGAGGTTTCTCTCAGTCAAGTTGCTGTTGGGCGTCTCCTTGGTGCAAGGGTTGGAGGGCATCTTGTATTGACTGTGGTGGTCGATGTTATTGGAGAGGAGGGAGAAAGTTAAACAAACGCCCAACAGGTTAATGAAGGTGAACAGACGCCGAGCCCAGGCACAATAGCAACCGTAACAATCTATGCCACATCGCCAGGGTGATTTAACCAGCTCTTTATATGCAGTGCACTTGCGGTATCTGCTTGAACCAAGCCAAGCACACGTTAAAGGCAAACATGCTTATCTACGGTACCTGACCCATAACGACGAAGATACCGTCAACAGCAGGTCAAATCAGTCGGTCAGTCAGTCAGTCAAATCACGCCAATGGATGGTGTCAACCCAAGCCATCAGGCACATACATCCACGCCTTATGCACAAATAAAGACTAAACGCAACTGGAAACCACAGCCCCGGGTCTCCAGTGAAGTACAAGGCACCCACGTCCCCTGTTCCCTCCGTCGTTCCGATAGCCTATCCTCCCCACCCATCCGAATCCAACGAGTCAAAAGGCAGCAATATCGCAATCACCGGGATTTGAATGTGGCTTAACGGCGACGGCGTATATCCCATGAGCCTGTCTCCTCGAGGCTCTATCCGGGGAAAGCAGTGCATACTTCCGCTGCCTGTCGTGGCAGGACAATAGTACTTTTATCCCCGGTGTTTTGGTCATCCATGCAGAATTAGCTGCAGATATGAAACGGTCGGGTCTGCAGTAATATGAGAAAATCTCCTCAAGAGATTTGCTCACATCCATTCGCCTTGTGTCCTGGGCGGGTTGTACCGAAGTCCGTCCAAACGAACACAACAGAAAAAGAAAAGAACCATCCACTAGCCAACTCCACGCATGCACATCATGACCAAACATAAGCCAAATCCAGGAAACGGAGAAACAACAAGAAAATCCGACGCTGGTAGCCTTGTACAGCACAACACACAGCGGCTGAAACCGTACCCAGCAACCTGGGTGTCTCGCAAGGGCCCGTGCGGGCGTTCCTCTTCCCCCAAAGTTCATGCTAAAACAGTAGATCGCCCATAGTACGGCTGAAGCGCCAGACCTCTAGATCAGCGGTGACGTTGACCTTGCTCTAACTATTCTAGGAGACTAAAGAAGACATATGGTGCGAAGGAACCAATTTTAGCAGGGCTTTGTTCCTCTCAGGCTCTCGCAAGTTCCTCACTTTTTTTTTTTTTTTTTTTTTCTACCGGGTTATATTCCAAATAGGCAAATGTACAGGTACTTTGGACGTACTTTTGCACTGGACGAGTCAATACTTCCAGGACGGATCCTAGCCTTTCCGTGAATACTACCAATATTATGGAACAAAGAGAAGGGGGGGGAAAATAATAATAAGGAAAAGCGTGTGATCATTAATGGGCTTATTTTCCCAGGGACTTGGTTCAACTCCCGTTTTAGGGTTTGTGCATGAATAAGTCCAAGGGGAATCTGATATTATCTAGAGTGCAAAACATGAATAATTCCGCATACACTAAAGACTCCTTCTGCGCAGAAGGAATTCTAGTGTGTCCGGAATTGGTAAATGAAAAGACAAAAAAAAAAAAGAAAAGAAGAGATGAGGGTTCACTGTATGGAATGGCTTTTTTATGGGATAACTTAATTCATGTAGTAATACGAACTACAGCATGATCCTTGTTAGTAGTTGTTAGAGTACTACTCCGTACACTGTCGGTTTCTTTCCCTCTTTGGCTTTTCTTTTACTTTTCCTTTACTTTTATCTTTCTTGTTCCTCTTCTTCAAAAGGCATGAAAGAGAGGGAGAAGATTTGAAAAGCTATGAGATAATGGTGCTCCGAGGTAGAGAAAGACATTAGGGTTATTAGTAGACGCTCTTATATGGATTCATACAACCGCATTTAGTCTACCACTGAATTTCTCAGAAAACAAGGCTATCCTTCCTTTTTCACACCGTCTTACTCAATCGGGAACTAGCCCCCTCACCAAATCCCCTCATGCTCCAGGCGAACGGGCGAAGGAAAAAATGGAAAAAGAAAAGAAAACCGAAATTAAAGAGTTGTCGATCAGTCGGCTGAAGGCAACGGATCGCTGGGGCTAGGGACTGCCAGTTGTCCAAACGGCAAACTTCCACCAGTGTCATTCCGAATTGCTGGGTTCGTTCGGCCGGAAGGATGCTTGGTGGTGTATCAGTGGGACTATTATCCATTCCCTTGGGTCTGTGGTTTGTTTATCTTTTCCCATAAGTATGGTTTCGTCATCTCCATGTCTCGGCCGTTGTTGGAGAAAGGACAGTGACCATTCATAATTTATGAAATAAAGGCATCCTCGCGTACATTATTGAACTTGAAATTACGAGTCAATATTCCGTAGAAATACGTCTATGACCAAGATATCACAGGTAGAATACCATGCATGAAACTCGGTGTTCAATGCAAAGCCCAAGTATGAAAATAAATACCAGAGTCAAAACCCACTAAGAGCAAACCCCTAATACAACTTCTGCTGTCGCCAAAACCCTTTAAGCCCACCCAGAAGGGCTTCCTGCAGACCCGAGACCATGGCTGTGGTCGGTCTAGACTCCGCCTTTGTCATTACCACTTCAGGGGTCTCTCCTGCAGAATATCTAGCTTCCGGAAATTGTCCGGTGAAGTACTGCGGTTGGACTGCATAATTTGGCTGGGGGAGGCCCAGGGAACGCTTTTGCTCGGTGGAATCATACGAACCGTGCGAGAAAATTCCTGTCTCTGATGCAACCCCAGGGAGCCAGTATGACGCTAAGTTAGCTGGCAAGCCATGGTAATCATCTGGTACCTGAAATATGTTCCCACTGCTGCCTACGCCAGAGGAAGCGTCCCTCAATGGTGTGTCTACCATTCGGTGCTTAGGATGTTTGTACAAGGGGTCCTCCTCTGACTGCATAATCACATCGTATGCAGCACTTAAAGTCTGTTCAATCAAGGCACAATCCCCTCCCGGTAGGGGTACCGCTATATTTGCAAACTGTGCCGGCGACTTGTCATAATCCCAAATCATTACAGATGCCGATGATGTTTTTGCTTCTTTCAATCTGCAGGAGTCGTGGAACTGCATCACAGACCTCGGTTTTTGATTTTGTAGCGAAGAGCTAATGAAGCTCGCCGTACCGGGGTAAAGTGTGAAGTCGCTTGTAGGCGGCTCGATGATGTCTGCCTGGTCGAAGGCTTGTGGTGACGCCGGTGCAGGCTGCCCATGCAACATGTGCATTGACACGCCTTCCGTATCTCTACTACTCCTAAGTGCAGGCGGCTCAGATGCCGGGTCATGATGATTGGTGGCAGGAATGCCAATGGCCCCATAACGTTCTGCTTTGTTTTCGCTATTATGCTTATTGACCCTCTTCGGGGTCTGTGAAGGTTCCCCCTCTCCGATAGACTGGGATCGCTTGCGTTTTCGACTTCTCCAATGAGAGCTCTCGTTTGTCCACACAACAGGGCTAGAAGCATATGAATCCCAAAGCAGTTTTCGCTGATCCAGGAGACATTTCAGCTCCTCCAGACTCCAATATTTCCTTGTGGATTCGATTGTTGTCGCTTCATTATTATCTTGGGCGTCCCAGTCGATACTGAGAAGCTGTCTCGTGCACCACTCGCATGGGTCATCCATTGCGGAATATTCACGTACACTCTCAGACCATGTATATGCTGTGGCGGTCCGAGATATACACTCGCTTCCTTCGTTCTGGTGTTGACTGCTTGCGTATGTGTAGACCTGAAGCATGGTGTTCCTCAGACCATGTCCATATACTGATGTTTCATGAGGAAATACATCGCTCGCCTGACGACCTCCTCGCTCATCGGCAGCATTCAATAATGTCAAACAACCTCTTGGATTCTTATTCGGTGAATTCCGACATACAATTCCATTTCCTTCCTTATCTGGATAATTACATGCTGTCTCACGGTCTTTTCGTGCTCTGTATGATAGGAACTTCATTTCCGAAAAGCTGAGGTCAGCCCCTGATCAATCTGTTAGTTTCGGACCCAAACTCAGAAAGATAGGAAGTTTACCCTGAGCCTTGACCGGTGACGATGTTCTGCCCATCTGAAACAGACCTAGGTTCATGTTAGATTGAAGCTATGGATATGGTTAGCATGGTCTCATCAAGTTGCTTTGTCTCTCTGGACTCACTGTCAATCGATCCCGAGCCACATTAGAGGCGTGGAAGTTATCATTCATGGTATGCTTTCTATTCCTCTTTGCGGACCTTCTTCTCTTAGTCTTTGTCACCCTACCATCTTCCTCATGAGATATCTTGCCCTTGTACACATAACGGTCGCCTTTTGTCTTGTGGCGTGGTCGGCGCTCATATCCATATCGTTCTTTCTTTCCCCTACTGGCAGCTTTCTGAAAAGACATGAGACACGGTACAGGGCCTACTGACTCAAGGCAGTGCTCTTTCTTATACGTCTCCAGTGCTGTTTCCTGGACGTGTGGCACATGTGCGACTTGCTGGGATGGGAGGCCAAGGTGTGGTAAATTAGTACCGCCCTCTTTCATTGATGTTGATCTCCTTAGTTGGTCTTCGATGACCGGTAGTTTACCATAAAGGTCTTGAACTTTGGGGAAATTACGGCCTGGGTACGACCATTCAGGGATGTCAGATGGCACAACCTCGTCTTCGATCATTCTCAACCACTCTAAAATACGGGACTGTGATCTTGAACCCATCGAAATAGCCGGTGCGAGATGTGCTTAAGTGTGTCTGGCAGATAGAATAGGGGTTTCTAGAGACTGATAGGTCGAAACGTGAAGTAGATAGTTAGCAAATAGAAAGACCTGGAGACATGTTAGGATGTCTGGCTGAGAGGTATGGCTGCCATTGTGGCATCATCCAACTGAGTATCTGAAGAAACCGGACGGAACTGTAAACGTACTCAGGCAGCCACGATTACCAAATACAGAACCACCCTCGTGACATGCGTTTGCAACTGAATGACCTAACATAAGTAGTAGTATTACGTCCACCTATTATTTCGCTACTTCTTTAGAACAAACACTCCAATATCCATCTCCCATGATCATATTGAAACCGACCCATGAGAGCTGCTCTCTTAATACAGATCCTTAAACCCCTCCCCGTCTGTCATTTCCATCATGGAAAATCTCATGTTGAACCTTGTCTCCTCTGATGCGGTCATAGTTATCCATGGATCAGAGACGATTATATCTGCAACGTACACACACCTCAATTTTGCAGCGCTGGCATCGTAGGATGAAATCAGGAAGCTGGTCGTGGCACACATCGCACGAATATTTTCCATCACACCTTCTCCAGCGATCATGCTTACAGTTGTGCTGCTCACGAAGTTCCTGTGCTGCCATCTGAACCTCTTGCTATGCAGACTGAGGGTTGTCTTCGATCCCAGAGGCAACTTGGTGTGCTCTGTCGAGTAGTTTGTTTTCGTCCCATACTTCGCATCCACATGTCTTCCACTTCATGGCACAGGTGTAGCAAAATTCGAACCCACAACGGCATCTGAACCAGAAAATCAAGTATCATCAGAGAGATATCCATAGCAAAGGCAAGAAAACCCAATTGCTTATGCACTTACGTGATGTGATTGCAGCCACTTTTTAGTTCCACGATATTACGACATCTCGTCCAGAAGTGACTTCATTGTAAGTAAAGGGAATGGCACACGACAGCACTTAGGTGGAAAAAGTGACTCGTCAGCAAAAGAGTCGTGCACCAGGCGGCCGATACAGCTCCTGCAGTAGTAATGGGAACAGGCTGCCTTGAATATGTCTAAATATGGCATGGCTTCCATACATGCTACACATTTGAGGTGTGTCTGACAGTCAAGACTACGGGCAGCGGCAACTTTCGAGCTTTCAGCCCCTGGGGACTCAGTCTTGATGAAACCTGAACTTCGAACTTCAACTGTATCTGTAGGTCCCGATTGCTCCAACACCGTATTGGAATCTCCCACAGACCAGTTAGACCAGTCATTGCAGCATGCTTCTGCCCCAATACCTGATCAGGGGTTGATTGGTTGAGGCCGACCAGTTGTAGTGCGGTCATTCGATCCTAGAAGGATCTGTTTTCCTCTTCAGTTGCAGCTGCGAGAGCAACACCATCATGGAAAACAGCCTTCACTAGGTTCTTCGCCATGTTGTAGTCTTCAAATATGCACGCGCAATGACGGAGCTCTTTAGTCCATTCAGTGAGCGCCAGTTCATAGTCAGTCGTTTGACCAGACCTCTCCTTGCCCTTCATGAGTCCAAGGGCGCCTCTCGCATCGTCTTACATCAGGCGTAGCACTAGTTCATTAGTCGGCTCATCCATGACGAAATAGAACAAATAAGATGTTGGTGTAAAATAAGAGGGAAAGTGAGAATTGAGGTATTTTGAAATGTCTGAAAAGGGAAGAAAGGTCGCAGTGAATTCAAGTTGATATCCTGGTACACATGACTGTTTATTCACCTCTCAACTACAGACAGGTCATAATACCCAGTACAGCTATAGTTACTGTAGTAAGGCCAGTTATACAATCTGGCCATATCCCATTATTCAGTGAGTCTGATACTAAACGATAGTATGCACATAGAAGAATGTCAGCATACAAGTTATGTATAAAAAAGAGTTGTGTAACAGAAGGATAATCAAGGTCAAGTTGATTGGAATTAGTATGTTGCGTGGACGTCCTGAACCGGTACAATAACTGTTCGGAATACCTACAGTAGCAGCAGCAGCAGCAGTAGTAGTAGTACATCAGACGGTAAATGTATATAGATAAAGTGTACGTGCTTTCCTCCGAAGTGAAGCTAGATGCTTACACTTACACTTACACCCACTACTTGGTTCTAATATTAAGACTTGGTACTTGTCTTTATTAAGAATCCAGGACAAGAAAATAAAAAAAGATCAGAAAAGATTAAAAAAAAGTAAAAAAAAAAAGAATTGAATTGACAATGAGGGGAACCGGAGGTGTTCCGCAACGCTTGGGTTAGCGTCTTAAAATCAGTCCAATCCAAAACAATGCAAACGGACCCCCCCTCCGTGGTGCAGTATTTGGGTATTGTTACCGTTCAGGCTGGTTGTTTGTGTTGCGAGTGGGAGAGGAAAGAGCGTATGAGAGGTGTACATACTATTTTATTTCCCTTTCCTTTCCTTCCCCCCGCTTTCAAGGTTATTATCGCTCAGTCAAGTCTTCGCTAAAGATTAGAAGGAGAGAGGCGAAAAAAAAAAAAAAAAAAAAGGTTGTGGCACAACGTGCAGTTGGATCTGGTCTTCTTTGGCCAGAGATTCCCTTCTCTAGCAACAACTTAACAGTGAAGGTGCATGATTCCAGACAGTTTTAGTCACTGCAGCGGTTCCACTTGAATAAATGTACGTGATAAGAACTAATAATTCTGCAAATCGGCTCTTTAGGACCTTAGTAGCCTCCTTCACATTCATGTTCCCCACGGGCCCTCTTCTTCCATTGTCATCCTCCTCTTTCAGCCGAACCATCATTTTATCGCACAAATCTCGTCTCATCTTCATCCTTCTTATTCCTCTTTTCTCTACTAACTCCCCTCTTAGTCTCTGTTCAACTCTACAAGGACTTCAGAATGTCTAAACTATTTATTGGGTCTGTTTACCCACCTCCTTCCTCCCCTCACTCCTCCCATATCAGCTGTCATCCCTTTCCCACTTCTACAGGGATTTTCTAATTGAATATTCACTGACACTGACGAACAGCGGCCTGTCATGGCACACCACCGACGAGGGTCTCCGTGATGGTTTCTCCAGGTTCGGTCAGATCGAAGACGCTGTTAGTAATCCAGTTACCGTAGAGCTATTTCCTCTCTCTGCCATGGTTGTATTAATAATGTCTAGGTCGTCGTTAAGGATCGTGACACTGGTCGCAGTCGCGGATTCGGATTCGTCCGCTTCGCCACGGAGGCTGAAGCTGATGCTGCCGTGCAAGAGATGAACAACCAGGAGTGAGCATTCATTTATTTACTGCGATCCCTTCCATCCCACAGTGCTGTCGCAACTTCTCCGCGTTGGATCGAAGATTTACAAATCTAGGTTTGACGGCCGTCAAATCCGCGTCGACAAAGCCTCTGAACGACCTCCTCGCAACAATGGCGGCTTCCAAGGCCGTGGCGGATATAACGGGGGCAGTAAGTAATCCATTTTGCTTGTCCTTTACATCCAAGGGCGTCGCAGTCCTCTTTATTGGTATTCCGATGGAGCTAACGATATACAGACTGGCGTGATTGAAACGCTGATAACCAGCCTACGAACGCTACCTCTAACTAAAGCGTGGATCGAAGTATGGTGTAGTTGGGCTGGTCCTTTTCGTGCTTTGTTCAAACAGATTTCATCGCTCTGATAAGCTTCTATCTCGATAAAACTTCATGAGACACGATCACAGAAGAGGAATTGAAACGCAGTATGACGGCGGAAGCATGGTTTTGATGAATCACGGATGCTTTATCTCTGTTTTTAAGATCATACCTCCATTGCTCATTTAATATTGAATCTCCATGACAGAGAGAACAATTTCAATCTATAACCGAAACCTATACAGCCTGAAACCATGTAGTCTATGTAAGCCCTGCACTTGACCGCCGACCACGGATCATAAAGAGACATCAATGCAAAATCACACTCTTTCCTCGTTTTGGAAAGCCCGATGTGCTTCCTCCTCCGACCGACTAAGCGACTTCTGTAAATCCCTCTCAGCCGCTTCTTCATCTCTCGCCGCTTCGTCTTCCTCCTCAATAGCCTTCACCCGTCGAACCAAATCCGTGACATGACCATCGGCACTTCCGAGCCCGAGACCCTCAAGTGCCTTCTCTAACAGATAAAGGTACTCGGTATTCTTCCCACTCTGACCTCGTCCGCGACTAATCACTTCCGCAACATCCTGCGGCTCACGACGGGCTGGGTCACGCAAGAACTGTGGATTGGTGGGTTGCCCGATATACACCATGCAGGTTAGCGGTTTAGAATCTGACCCCGAGGTCTTTGATCCTGAGAACGGATAGAATGGAGTGTAATGCACGGTGTATCCGTCAATCTCGCGTTCGTCGAGGTAATCATGGACTTCTTCGGCGTGCGAAGCGGGAATATGGTATGCTGCGCCCCAAACTCGAGCTGCTGACGACGATGATTCAAGGTGTGCGAGCTGCACGGTGGTAATATGAGGCGACAGGTCTAGTTACTAACAGGAAATGGCCACATACCGGGTCATTCAATGTCTCCCAGAATCCTCGTTCTATGACCGTTACTACTCGTCCGGGATTTTCCGGCGTTCCTCGATGGTCGGTACTGAATAAGTCAGTTTTGTAGCTCGGAGATTAGCAACCGAATGCCCGTTTCAAGAGTCTATAGCACACCTAGCCTATACGATGCAAGCATGAAGTTAGCCATGCTTGGTAAGGGAGAAGGAAAAACGGAGAAAATGAGGAAAGTCCCGGAACTTCAAGCTTCACGGCAAAGGTTTCCATAGTTCAAGGGGTGACGAACCTGCCAAAAGCGACGCACATAGCCGTTGACATAACCCGGGACTCTTTGATCTATACGAGGTCGCATATCAGCTGAAGTCTGGGAGACCGGCAAGAGTGCTGCGCCATTTTTCCTTGGCCAAGATCTCTGAACCCTTAGGCCAAAGCCAGAGTGACGTACCATAATGCGGTGGTGGCTTCCAGATCAAGCTCCTTGGCAACATTAGCGTTTGTTCATTAAAAATTCTCGTAGAACACCGAAGATACTGTTCTTCCCAGGACCAACGTGACTCACCCATATCCAAATACCCATAGATCACCGTCTGGGAAGTAACTGCGCCATGTTCTGCCATCTGGAGAAGCATGACCGTTTTCATTACTAGAAGCCATGTCAGACCCGTCTAATAGAGTCGGATATTAACCGTCTGCTCTATGGTTACAAGGTCTGTTTGTCTCTATAATGTATATAGATTTTGAGATGGAAACGAAAGTGTGTAAAATAGAAACAGCTCTAGAAACAAGGCTTTGTCAGCAGCGGAAATCCAGAATAGATAGATGGCCTCTAGCTTCCTTCAACGTTATCATTAAAAATGTAGGGAAACGGCTATCCTTAGAGGTATATGTTCATTACTGAGCATTGCAAAGAATGTGCTGTACAATCCACCCCATGTGTTTGTACTGTTTGCTCACTATCAATGTGGGATGGAAGTTGATGCAACATTGGACCAATCAATTCGGATAGCCTTCAAGTAGATGCCCCGCTGCAGCCGACATTATCCTTCCGTCTCTTCTTGCTGCCTCAGGTTTGACTAAAACCCCCTGCTTATTGATCAGCCTTAATTGTGAAGAAAAGCATACTACAAGGTAATCTAGATGGTGTGGACCCTTCTTAATAAGGATTAGGACTCTTTAATAGCTGCTTATTACTTGGCATTGCTTTTGTTCGACTATCCAACAAATCATCTACTCCAAACGCCATCCACAGCATATCGCATTTTTGTTTGTTCGTGGAAATATAGTTACCATGGCTAGCTTACTACGCCTGCTCCGAACACAGTACACTCTCCCAGTCGACCCAACAGTCTCCTTTGCCGGCAAAACCGTCGTCTTGACTGGAGCCACGTCTGGCCTGGGTTTTGAAGCTGCCATCAAGCTTCTGAATTTAGGCGTGGAGTCGCTAATAATCGGCAGTCGCAGCCTAGAACGAGGAGATGCAACCAAAACCGAGCTGGAAAAGCGCACGACCAGACAGGGAGTGATCCAAGTATGGGAGCTGGACATGAACAGTTTCCAAAGCGTCAAGACCTTTGCGAGTCGCATTCAAAAGGAAATCAAGCAGCTAGACATCGCACTCCTCAATGCAGGTCTCTGTCATAAAGTGTATACCGCATCACCGGAGGGATGGGAAGAAACGCTGCAGGTTAACGCGTTGTCCACTTCTCTATTGGCGCTTCTGCTCCTTCCGAAGCTAAGAGACAGCTCATCTGACTCGAACCCGGCGCATCTTGCTGTCGTTTCCAGCCAGCAGTTTGTTCAGGTCAAGGCTACGAGTCTCCGGACGGAGGGGCCACTATTGGAGCATTTGAATGATCCACGACACTTTAGTGGGACAAGGCAGTACGGCATCTCTAAGCTGCTGCTGGAGTATGCTCTGAAGACGGTGGCTGATCGAGTACGGAATGAGAATGGAACTCTCCCAGTCATTGTTAATACGATAAGCCCGGGACTGTGTGTGTCGTCGCTTGGACGGCAGTATGGTCGATTCTATGAGCGATGGGTTGTTTGGCTGTTCTATAAGCTCTTTGCTCGCACAGCAGAGCAAGGAAGTCGGTCGCTAGTTAGTGCCACATACCAGGGAGCAGAATCACACGGAAAATGCTGGAGGAGTGACGGGTATTTGGAGTATGTTTCTTCTCATTCTCCTTTCCTTTCTTTATATTTTTCGTTGGTTTTCTGTCGGATTTTACTATTATGTGCTAACAAGTGCAGCGAATTCACTGCGCTGACAACGGGAACGGAAGGAAAGGAATTCCAGGTCAAGGCGTGGAAGGAGATCATTGAGATTCTTCAAGAGCAGTGTCCAGAAATCCGAGAGCTAATTGGGGAATGAAGGATAATGTAATACTAAATTAGGCAAAGGAACAAGTTAACCGAACCATAAGTACGGACTGTGGTTAAAAAAAAAAAAAAGATAAATATAGATACAGACTCACATTAGCTCCACCGGGAATTGAGGAGAACCCGAGAGCCATACTCAATCAGGATAAACAAATGAATCAGAGGGTGGGATAGGGCTGAAGCGATTCTTTCTCTCAGAAAACCTTCCTTTCATTCCATTTGGAGCCCAATTTCCTACCCGTTAGTTTGTTGATCTTCTCTCTGCCACCGCGTATTCGTATATTGATCGCCCCCCTCCCCCTTTGATTCAACATATTAAGACTCTTGGCAATCAGCTTTTCGAACCAGTGCCCCACGCGCTCCGCTTTTGACTACGAAGAAGCATATGCTAACGCAAACACTAACTCCCTCCTGAAACTCCTGACCAAAATCCTTTTCTTATCTCTGCCTGATTCCTCTTCCTTCTTTGTTGAGTGGCTTGTCCGATCGCTATAAAGAGCGCGTTTCCCGCGTCAAGCATCCCCTCCCCCAAACCTCATTTCCTTAAACCCATACCAAACCTCGGTTACGTCAGCTGGATCGACACGAATAGACAACGCCATGGCGTACAATCAATCTTACAACCCAGATGCGTTGCCAGCGTAAGTTGAGGTCGCAGATGATGATTTTCAGGATGCGCCGTATATCGCTAATGTTGCATAAATTGGACCAGACATGCAGAGCCCGAACAGGTACCGACCGACTGAGTGCTTTAGTTTCCCTGATCGACCCCTCCATAACTGATGAAATAACGCCAGGTAGCTCAGATGATCGGTGCCATGCAAACCGGCCCTCAGCATCATCACCAGCAGAGTAAACCATCTCGACCATCCCCCAACCCCTCTTCTAGTGGAGTCCCACCTCGGGTTCCCGTCACGAGTGCGCACATGAACAAGCCATTACCCGCACCAGCAGCAAACCAACACCGGACTCATCCACTGCACCCATCCCCACCTCCACAGAACTATGGGTTTGGGCCACCCCCTTCCCAGCCTGTGCGCAATCGGCCCCAGCCCTCATCTCGGCCCCCACGGTCTCCAAACCCGCCTCCGTTGGCTGTCCCTGATGACGATCCGCAACAACTCTTCCCGCTGTTTCGCGCCGCCAACGCATCCCACACTGGTTCACTGACCGAGTTGGAGCTGGGCTCCGCTCTGGTGAATGGCGATTTCACCTCGTTTCACCCTAAGACGGTGAAGATGATGATCCGCATGTTTGACCGGAATAGCAGTGGAACGATCTCGTTCGACGAGTTTGTGTCGCTATGGCGCTACCTAGCCGCGTGGCGGGAGCTATTTGACCGATTCGATGTCGACCGTAGCGGGCGCATCAGCCTCCAGGAGTTTGAGAACGCACTCCTCGCATTCGGATACCGACTAAGCCAGCCGTTTGTGACGGTGCTTTTCACCACATTTGAGAGCAAGGGACGACAAATGAGTGGTGGGCCTGCTCACCCCGGAAAGATGGGAATGAGCTTCGACCTGTTTGTGCAGGCGTGTATCAGCTTGAGACGGATGACGGACGTGTTCAAGCGGTATGACGATGACCGCGATGGTTACATTACTGTGAGCTTTGAGGAGTTCTTAACTGGTATGGGAAATTTTTTAATTTTTTTTTTTGCCCTTCTACCTTGGCCAGTTACTGACGCAATGACGTATAGAAATCCTGCAACTACAGGACTAGAGGGTGGATAAGGAGTTCTTGTGCATCTCTGCGTTGATCTTTTCTGGTTGTTCTACTATTATACCCTGTTTATGGAGCATCATAATTCAAGCACCGGCGATCCAGCGAAAAGTGACATGCAAAGTGTATTCGGTGTACTTGCATGCTAGCTACTTGTAGGTAGTGATGATTTTGTGTTAAAAGGCTGCATTGACCTGTACTATAAAACGGTAGTACCTCATGATAAGAATACGGACCGGTTTGCAATTGATTTGGTAATGAATACGAAGTACGATACCAGTGAGAAAAAAAAAACAACCCCCCTAAACCTTTCTTGGGATGGATGTCATGGCATGTCATTTCCTTGGGAAATTCTCCGACTTGCATAAATTTAAATGCTATGTGGAGAATTTTCTGTTTGGTGAAGATAATCAAAGGAAAATTAAAATTAAAATCTCCGATTACCCCAAAGAAAAGGCAAATCATTCATGTACAGAGTACATCTTGGTCTTTGCTGGTTTAGATCCCTCGGGGAGTCGGTCATTGAAAGCTTTTAAGTCCGACAGGCTCGGGACCCTTCCGAAAGACCGACAACTTAGTCAACGTTATAGCTCGATACTCCGTACTCTCATTTATAGGAACTGAGTCTCGACCGCATCCTCTCTCACTTTGGTTGGCTCATTCACGCCGAGAAGTCTAAGCAACTACAAATGGGAATCCATTAGCGGCTGCGCTAGAGTTTTTCTCGTTTCTCCTCGGTGTTCTGAGACGTTTCTTTCCTCGTTCTTTATGTTGATCCTTTACTATATCCTTGAGTCACTCGGTCTTTTAATGTCGGATCTGCCCGCCACACCAGATTGGGAGCTCATTCTTGGTCCCTTTCTCCTCAACAGAGCGGCCAAACCCTCGCCTGTCAAGTCAAGTCTGATCCAATTTCATTCTCGACGGGCCGTGCATTCTTACATCGTGAAGAATGACGGCGCTTTCTAATCCCATTGAAGACCGGGATCAACATGATACCCACACGCCCAGCAATGGTCAGATTGTAACGGGCGACAAAATAGCTCCAGTGGAGTTGGACCCCAGCTTGGCGGACACCGACACTTCGAACCACCATCGTCAATCTTCAGAGGAAAGGCATCCGGATGAATCGAACGGTGATGGAACTATGGAAAAAGTCGCAACCGGCGCCTCGCTGGGCCGAGTGCCTTCCCAGGCGCAGAAGCTGGGGAAGAAGAAGATCGTTGTTGTCATGGCGGCGCTTTGTGTAAGAACTTACTTTTGCTTTTCTACTCCTCAAGTACATCTTTGATGAAATAACGGCTAACCATACTGAAACCTGTAGTTAGTCCTGTTCCTAGCAGCTTTAGATATGGTAAGTGACGGGATTGCTCGCATGTGTCGTCATAGTTCAGATGTAAACTGACTGGTATAGACAATCATTTCCACGGCCCTGCCAACAATGGCCTCTCATTTCAATGCCTCGGAGAGTGGATATTCATGGATGGCTTCGTCGTATATGCTTGCTAATGCCGCCGCGGTGCCTCTCTGGGGTAAAATTAGTGACATCTGGGGCAGAAAGCGGATTTTGTTGCTGGCCAATTTTACTTTCCTCGTAGGTAGTTTGATCTGCGCGTTGGCTATTAATCTGCCGATGATTCTGGTGGGTAGAGCGATTCAAGGTGTTGGGGGTGGTGGTATCATCGTGTTGGTGAATATCTGTGTCTCTGATTTGTTCAGTGTCCGGTAAGTCATCTTATCTATGCTTTCTCCCTTTCAAGGGACGATTGTTAATCGGTTTATACTTCAGAGAACGGCCGATGTATTACGGTCTTTTCGGATCTACATGGGCAATCGCAGGTGCTCTAGGTCCCATCGTTGGAGGCGCCTTCACCACCAACGTTACTTGGCGTTGGTGTTTCTATATAAATTGTAAGGAAACCAGCGAGCAGCAGGCCGAACTATGCTAATGTGGTTTACCAGTGCCCATTGGGGGCGTCTCGTTTGTGATCCTCGTTCTGTTCCTTAAGATCGAGGCTGAAAAAACCCCGCTTCTAGCAGGTCTAAAAGCCATTGATTGGATAGGTATCGTCTTGATCATGGGAGGGACGCTCATGTTCTTGTTTGGTCTGGAGTACGGTGGCATCACTTACCCTTGGGACTCGGCCACTGTCATCTGCCTCATCGTCTTCGGAGTAGTAGCGTGGGCCATCGCCATGGTGGTTGAATGGAAGGTCGCAAAATATCCCGTTATACCGATCCGACTCTTCACGAATTGGCACAACATCCTGGTCCTCCTCGTCTGCTTCTGCCACAGTTTCGTGTTTATCGCAGGCTCCTACTACCTCCCGCTCTATTTCCAGACTGTACTTCTCGCCAACCCTATAATGAGCGGTGTCTACGTGCTTCCGAACGTTCTCAGCCTTTCCTTCACTTCCGCATGCACTGGTTTCATCATAAAAAAGACCGGCCGCTACCGCGAGCTTATCGTGGGTGGATTATTCTTCATGACTCTCGGCTACGGACTCCTCATCGACCTGAAATACTACGCCTCGTGGCCTCGCATCATCATTTATCAACTAATCGCCGGCTTTGGCTCCGGGCCCGTTTTCCAGGCACCCCTCGTTGCCCTCCAGGCTAACATCCACCGTGGTGATGTCGCCGCCGGAACCTCCACGTTCGGCTTCCTTCGCCAAACCTCCGCCGCCATGTCCATCGTCCTCGGTACCGTTGTGTATCAAAATGTCCTCCGCCAGCAAATGCCTAAGATCTCAACCGCGATCGGGCCCGAGAAAGCCACCGCGCTCGCCTCGTCCTTCTCCGGTTCCCAGGGCGACCTCATTAGAGCACTCCCGGGAGCCCAAAAGAACGTCGTCCTGAAATCATACACCTTCACCCTGAGCCGGATGTGGATATTCTACACGGCCATCATCGGCTTCGGGCTACTAGTCAGTCTACTCATCCGACCCGTCGTGCTCAGCAAGGCACACACATTCACCAAGACGGGTCTAGCAGAGCAAGAACGCGCAAGACAGGAGATCCTAGCCGCGCAAAGAGGCGAGACTCAGCCCGAATCCAAGGAGACCGTGTAAAAGCACCTTCGCTTCTTCTCTTCCCATAAACATACACGTTACAGTCTACACGCATAATAGACCCTTCTTGCTCTTTTCTTCAAGGCTGGCGTCCCCTATCCCTATAATGATTGAGTTGTTAATACTCCCGGTGGGTATTATGAGCATGTTCAGACCGTGAAAAAAGAGAGAAAAAAAGTTTGCTGGTTTTGCTTCTTGAATTGCCTTAATTTCTTGCTATACCCACTTCAACATGGATTTCTGGAGTTGCTTGATAGCTGGAGTTACTGAAATTATGTATATTAGATTGGAAAATGATGAACTGGAGTAAATACATACATTCATACAGATTCAGCGCAGAGATTGCCATCTAAGGGTTTAACAAAGTTGGCAGAAAAGAATTTGCTCAACATATCCTTCACACATACTAAGACCAATTTATTATCGAGAACTATTATTCTCTTGCTAGTTAGTGCCTTACCTCTACACCAGAAACTTCATACAACCAAGAAATAAGTTCTTAAAAATGACATCACTGCTAAACAGCCGGGGCTTTCCGACAGATAGATAACCTTATCACACGTATGCACACAGTAGTACTTACACGATTTGATTGTTCGGGAGGTGGTTATGTATACTATACTTAGTAAGCTGCACATCATTACTTACATCCTGCAACTGTACTAGATCCCAGGTATTAGGTACATGAGGGTTTGCTGGTGCTAGTTAAGTTGATGTATAGCTGCTTACGTCAATGCGATATGGTTCTGCAAACCTAATCTGAACTTTATCGGCAATGACGTGAGTATACGCCGGTTTAGGTAGTCGATCGTAGATTCAGTCCTGTTCAATTGGTACCGTACTTTTAGGTTTACTCGGATGATCCACATGGAAAGGATGGTGCAGTCACTTAACTTTTCTCGGTCGTTCTATGGAAACCACATATATAGTGGTAAACTCATCACAATACCCAACTTGGCCTGACTATCCTGTTCAACATTTTTATTCCTATTCAAACATCCTTATATACATTACCAAATTTTAAAGGATAAAATAAACAGATACTGGAACGCCATCCCCAAGTGATTATAGAAAGAAGGCCAAAGATTGTTCTGTCCTGGTCAAAGAGATGGGAAAGACGAGAGAGACTGAGAATCTCATGCGGAAAGAGCTTTTCGAAAACAAGCGCTTAAGGCGAGGTTGCCAATAAGATCCAACGGCAAAAGGAAAGGGTATAACAGTGGAAAGGAAGCGGAAGCCACGGCGAAAGTAGAGAGGACTGGAAAGGGGAAATGATATCCAATGAACAAAAGAGACATATCCAACTCGCTCACCCGACTAGGTATTCATACCTTCCTTAACGCCACACGATGCCATAGCTGAGACAGTGAAAGAAAGAACAAGACCGCAATTATCAATCTAGACAACAAGGGAGGCTATGTCTTTGCCTTTTTCGGTGCCCCTTCCGCACTTGGTCCACTATCGGGGCTTTTGCGCTTTTTCTCTTGATCGTCTTCACGCGCAAAACTGGGACCCGCTTGAACGGCGGGAGTGGGGAAGGTCAGAGGACTAGGAAGCATATTACTATCCGGACCAGACCGGCCAAAACCCCATTCAGGGAAGAAACTAGATGGAGAAGGAAGAAGTGCATCTGACACGAAGCGGCTAGGAAGTGCAGATATCGGCGTCTCTATGTTGTTGCCGTTGTTGTTGTTGTTACTACTATATGCATTGTTATTCTGAGCAGCTGTGCTAGGGGGAGGCGGCCGGGCAAACGGATTCGGTGGTCCCTGAGCGCCTGCACTGAGAATGGCACCGGCAGAAGGCGAAGGCGGAGGTAACACTACACCGGAATGGTTGCCGTCAGGATTGGCTTTCGCTGGTGTAAGTGTCTTATTCCCTGCGGAATCGCGGGAGGATGAATCTGCTGTTGCGCTGCCCCGGTCCGAA